GTTGGAGATCATGAGAGGATTATTATACAGTCAACGAAGATTTGAATGTAGCAAAAACAACAAGAAAAAGACGGAGATTTCAGTCGGTTCATTAAAACATGACGACTCCTTTACTGCCAACTCATCTGCTCTCCTTCACACTGTTTACCTTTTTTCCCATGATGCTCCTGTGGTGCTGTGAACAAGTGCTGAACATGTTGAAGTGTGTCTCCCAGCAGCGGTTAACTGTGAGGTCAGTCCACACAACCAGAGTGAGTGTCCTGCTCAGGGTTTTCAAACGGCACCGTCAGGTTACATCAGCACTTTGTCTGTGATTCTGGTTCAAAACATGTCAGGTGTCGCAGCTGCTGATCACATGACGGGAACTGTTGTTATTGTAACTCTTCAAGAACTGTGTGACAGTAACACGTGTTCACGACCGAGGCTTTACTGCTGCTCCAGCTCCACGCTGCCCCCGCTGGCACAGCTGAGGCTGCAGCGCTCTGGAAAAATACGTCTTTTATTTTGTACAGTTCATTCTTGGCCTGCGGTGAACAATTATGTTAATTGATGAGTCGCTGCCTATTATTAAAATGACTGCTGGACTAATTGGAAAACACGACGCACAATAGATCCACGATTATCTTTTTATTTGTTAGACATTTCAATTAAGCAAGTTTTAGAAAAGCATTTACCAAAAACTATAATAAAAATAATACTAGGCCCAACAGCATCAGCTACATACTAGTAATACACCAATACTAGGCCCAACAGCATCAGCTACAAATATATATCTACAAAAACTCTATCCTACTTAGCCAGCTAGCTAACATGCTAGTGTAAACTCTGGTTTCTGGTTCAGTTAGCTCCTTTGGAGAATAAATACCACAACACTGGTCAGAAAGTTGTCCGTTGACAAACACAGGAGAATAAAGTCCTGCACTACATGAAGGAAGGTTAGAGTATAGATGATTAGACAGTTGGTCCTTTGATGTTAAACATGTTACAGTTCAATATTCATTGGCTGCATCACAATAATGACTGAGGAAGAACCAGCACAAATACTCTGACGATTTAATTCTTTAATATCCTACAGGCAAAACTGATGATCTCTACAAATCGCTCCACTTTGCATTTTATTACTGCTGAGCAGGAGATTTATTACATTCATATTTCACACATCGGATCATGCTTTGTAGATTGCCTTCACAGGAAGTGACAAGGCGCGGCGGTGAAATACAGACTCCCAGAATGAGTTTTCTGTGGTGATAAGAACCAGACCAGGCGACAGAGCCGTGGTGTCACGTGACCAGGACGCTGCTCTTGTCTTACTGTGCTGCCGTCTGTGGTGTATCATCCTGACTGTGTTCCAAACCACTTCACACCTGAGGCTGCTTTATTTTGAAGGACTCCTACGACGGCGTCGGCCCGCGCTCTGACAACAATAAAAACAAATACAGACACGTCCAATCAGATCAAAGAGTCCGATTAAATCCAGCTAACGACCGGCTGACTTTGGTCTGTGGGGGGTTTCTGTCACTGCCACATTTACTACTGCATCATGACGCTGTGGAGCAGTGGGTGGGTGTGCCAGCTTCTCACCCTCACAGGAACGTTCCCTGCCATCTGTCAGAGCCGGAAAGCTCCGGTGGCTTACAGCACGTTTCCCCCAACCTGCGATCACAAACGTGTGTGGGGTTTTTTTCCCGTCAGAGACTTTACTGTGAACGAACCTTCATCCGTAACCAGTCGCTGGACCAGAACCTGCTGTCAGGCTCATGGACAGCCATCAAATAAACCCTCAGAGTTCTACTGAGCCACGATGTAGTCACAAGGAGGCGTATTGACTGGTGGAGGTTCTGCTGTTGGTACCAGAAGACCCACCTCAGTGTTGTTGGTTGTTGTTGTTGTTGTTGTTGTTGTTGTTGTTTTAATTATCTGTGAATCTTTAATGCACTCCTAGATAAGATACAAAGCAACAAACGACAGCTCTGGCAATTTCAGCTCATCCGTTATTCATTTGTTTGCTTCATATCTTCTCAGTTCAGCAGTGAAGGTGAGCAGCGTGAACAGCAGCCACGGTCGTGGACTGTAACCACAGTCTCCTCCATTAAATATGACACTGATGAAGTAGACAGAGTTCAGATAAAACACAGGGAACCCCTTATCATGACCGAGCCTGTGTGCAGACCGCTGTTTCACCGTCCAACCTCCTAACCCTGTGAATGATGTTCTACATCACACAGATGAGTCCGACGGTGGTTCTGTGCAGCAGAGAGAGAGGCTGAATCATAAATGTGCCTCTCTGCTCTGGGATCTCTTATCTTTCTCAGCATATGTATAATAAACCTGGTGAGAGGGCTCATAAATCACCAACATGTCCCTTTAACAGATACATGATGATTTAAACAAAGTATGATTAAAAATCTTGTTCGGTTTATCTTCAGGGAATTCAATTAAAGAGAGCTGTCTTGTTCAGGACACCGGGGACAAGCCTCCGCGCTGGTGTCTCACTGCTGTCAGAATCAGGAGGACAGCAAAGTTAGTCGAGATTCAAGGAGGAGAAAGTTGTGTGATGGTGTGAGTTCAGGCTCACGGACCATCTGTGACAGTGACCAGTAACAGACTGGGGGCAGGAGGGGTCGGGGGGGGGGCAATACTGCAGTAATCTCTGGTGTCTTAGTGGGGCAGTTGTTGAAGATTATCACGCAGGAAATGTACAAGTCCAGTTGTCCTCTGCTGAAGACACTTTCATCCTGACGTCCAGAGTGAATGTCACTGTGCATGTTTACCTGATGCTCACAGTTGTTTCTCCCTTCTGTGACGCTGAGACTGTACCGTACAAACTCTGTCTGTTTCTGAAAGGTCACATTTGATTCATAGATCTGAAGAAAAAAAATGCAATTTATCACTTTCAATAACGTTTACTGATTGGATACTTGAAAATGTCAAGGGCCACATTGAACTTCTGAATAATTATATTCACCAATGCGAGCATTCAAATAACAGTTTGTAAATTTGGTTCTTTTTCCTGTGTATTTTCAGAACCACGCTGTGAGGAAGGATAATGACCCTGCTCTCCATCTTTTAGAGCGAAGCTACGCTGACCTTTCACTAATGTCTTTGCTATGCTGCTGGACACGTATCCACACTTAATGGAGGTTCCACCAACAGTCGCATAACAACGAGGTGTTTCTCACGTGTTCATTGGCTGTAAAAACCCCTACAAATATCTAAACCCAGAGAGGAAGGATGTTAAAGGACTGTTTCAACTAGATTCATGTTTCAAGTTCTTTTATCAGTTTCTGTTATAATGAATCAGAAACTGAGACTTTTGATGTGGATGATCAAGAGGGGCAATTAATTTATTTAATCAGTAGAAATTAATAACAAACCGCAGTAACGGCGTCTTGACAGTTCTCGTGAAGAAAGAGCATAATCTACAAGGCTCAAATAACAAATGTTGATTCTAAATTTAACCACATTTATTTCTACTTATGGTAGAGAAGCTATTATTCAAAGGCCTCTGTGATACATGGTATAGTTAATTAGTCTGGTATGTGCCCCCCCCTAACCCCCTCCCACCATAACCTCAAACAGCCCCGATGTAGATGAATAAGCACAATTATTTAGTATTAGATGACGGAGACCAAGGAAACACAGGGGGCTCTTTGACCAAACTCAGTCCTAAATGTTGTCACTCACTGCCATCTGGTGGCTGCATTGAGAACCACGCGGAGACCAAACAGTTTAGATTTGACTGTTAAATTTGGATGTGGAGTTCACAAGGAAGTGACACTCGCTGACAGTGTTGTGACCTAAAAACATTAAGTATTGAACAAAAGTACAAATCTCAAACACGCACACACACAGAAAAGGTGTGTGGATTTTCTTTGACTTTTTTTCCTTCGATACATCCATTTAATGTGTGCATTTAAATCTGAAACAATTCAGTAATAATGTTCTAAACCGTTTTCTGATTGAAATATTCTATATTTATTTTATCACGTTTCAGTTTTTCCTCTCAGCGTGTTGTATTTGGGTGCTCTCGGGGGAAAGTGAACGTTATTTTTCCAAAAGCGTCTTTATATTGTGGGCGAATACAGTCGTGGTTGATTTGCCCTCATTTGTATTTGACAGACAAAGTTCACTTTAATTATCTGTATCTAACAGTCGACATTTAACTTTCCGAGCACCGGAGACTGAAGTCGGACAGAATGTCCTAAAGCACCTGAAGGCAGCAGCAGCAGCAGCGGCGACAGCGGAGGAGGAGGAGGAGGAGGGGGACCGAGGTGGTGTGGCACTTAGCTTCGCTAGTTTGGCGCTGCTAGTTTGCTGAAAGCTCGCTACATGTGAACGCAGTGAGCACATAATTACCAGTGCGTTATTCCTCTGAGCAGTCACTACTATGTCGGGGAAAAGTTTTCGTGTTAGCGACGGGGACTGGATTTGTCCTGATAAAAAGTAAGAGCCCTGACATGACGAACATTGATATTTCTGTGGCTTTTTGGAACAATAACCGTTCGTTGAGTTAGCTAGACGTGCTAATGCTAGTTAGCTCCGGCCTTTTAGCATCTCTTGTTGCAAGCTAGCTCTAGATATCCAGCTGCTCGCTATATCTGTGCGATATTTTTGCTCTTTTGCGGTGAATTTTAAGAATTGCAGAATATGCCTGTAACTCTGTCGTGTTAAGTTTATTTTATGTCCTTAATTGTAGTTAAAGAGCCGCGACTTTCGAAGCTAGGTGTTGTTAGCTTGGTGTGGATGCCATGGGCGTTGGAACCCACTGTTGTTGGTGTCTGTTACATCTTTGAGTCCAAGTTGTCCAGTTGTTGCCAAAAACATCCGTGTCGTGTTGCACTGAACCGCATTAAGTGTCGTCGGTGACAGACACGCCAGGTGCAGTGGAGCGAGTTCAGGCCTGACACAACAAGGCGTCAGGGCTGAAACTGCACCGACACAGCGTGGCTTCGTGGCCTGAAACGGAATTTTACAATGTTTCTGTCAATTCACATCACATTTATTGCCAATTATGTTTTGAATTTCACTGTGGTTTTTTTAGATAAAATACGATATCATATACAGAAACAGTCAAAGAAGTTGTTTTGGAATGTTTTTAAAAAATAAACGAAATCAACAAACAATGATCCTTAATAATACTAGACTTAATAGACTTTAAATATGTTTGTTTACATACGTTTATTCCCCTTTTGTGTTTTCTGTGAAAGAAAATTGATAATTATTTAATTGATCAAAGCTAATTTTACTAACATATGTTACATTTTATTTTGTTTATTTCCTCCAGTCTTGTATCATGGAGTCGGCCATTATTTACCCAAAAGATGCACCACACAAACTTGGTCAAAATTGTTACATTTACATGAATAATGTCCAGTTTTGGAGTAAATTAAATTCTCATCTCAATCTAGATTTACGTGTTAGAAAAAGGGTTAAAAACATAAACCCTGTATGTGGACCAAAACATTTTTTAAATTATTTTGTGCCTTGACCTATATTTCTATAAAATAAATTAAAAATCCCTCCACTCTTTGATTCTTTTGCGCTCAGACTTTGTGATGTACGGCTAACTGAACGTGTAACAAACTTTATATATTTCATCTGTTTGCAGATGTGGGAATGTGAACTTTGCCAGAAGAACAAGTTGTAACAGATGTGGCAGAGGTGAGGCCTTCACTGAACTCTGTGTTGTTCATAATCAGATCTTCTGTATGGTACAACAACTGCTCTGATTCTACAGAGAAAACCACGGAGGCAAAGATGATGAAGGCTGGGGGAACAGAGATCGGGAAAACCCTGGCTGAGAAGAGTCGCGGACTTTTCAGTGCTAATGATTGGCAATGCAAAACGTAAGTGTCCGTTACTAATTCAACTGAAGTGTGTTCTCTCGACAAACGAACCTTCTTCACAACCCTGAAGGGTTTGATCAGTATTAATTAAATCCTTTACAATAAGTACCCCCCCCCCTTTTCATTGTTTAAAGATGTGGTAACGTGAACTGGGCCAGACGGTCTGAGTGCAACATGTGTAACACACCTAAATATGCCAAGCTTGAAGAAAGAACAGGTAATGTAACAGAACCACTCAAACATTTGTTCCGTGTGCATTTGTTTTTCTTCTAATATTATCAATATTAACTACCTGTGCACTCACAGGCTATGGTGGAGGGTTCAACGAAAGGGAAAACGTGGAATACATTGAACGGGAGGAATCAGACGGTGAATACGATGAGGTACCAGCTACAGCTGACAACGTTTCTGCTGCAAAACAAACGGCAGCTCTGAGGAGGTTACGATCTCGTGTTCTTCTCTGATCTCTACAGTTTGGAAGAAAAAAGAAAAAGTTTCGAGGTAAGAGCAGCAACAGCACGCCCTCCTCTAAAAGTGAGAAAAAAGAGGTGGAAAAACCTAAGGAGGAGGAACCGGATGATGAAGACGACGATGAAGAAGAGGGCGATCTGTCCAAGTACAAGTTGGATGTGAGTTTTCAATGGAGGTTCTGCTCTTTTATGTGTAATTAGCCCAAATAAAATGTCACTTTTATTTTTGTCAGGATGATGATGAGGATGAAGACGACGGAGATCTTTCTAAATATGACCTGGACGCCAGTGATGAAGACGACAAACCAGCCAAGAAAAAGGACAGCGCCTCAGGATCGTCCCGCTCGTCTTCCCGTTCTTCCAGCTCCAGCTCACGGTCTAGGTCCAGGTAAAAGGGTACAGGTCCAGGGTAACTACGGGCAAAATGTCAGTATCAATCCTTCATCTGATTCACTGATCAACATGGAAAATAAATGTGCTGTCTGCTGATCTGTTTCCCTCTTTCCAACCCCCACCTGCACAGCTAGTCTATATTTAGATTCTGTTTGTCGTAGACTTAACCTTTTTTAAGATAATGTAATTATTTATGCTGAAAAAATATTTTCTGTCCATCTCATGTTCATCACTGGAGTCTAATGTAAAACTTGGCTCAGAAATGACCTTTTTTTTCTACCGTTTACTTATGAAAACAACTCTGTTGTAAATGTGCACCAACATCATGAGTAGTTTTCTTTAGATTTTCTTTGAAAAATATTGGAAAGAATGTGTTCTGTCTTTCAGGTCCCACTCTAGAAGCTCATCTGCTTCCGGGTCTGGATCTCGCTCGAGGTCCCGCTCCAGGTGAATGAGGTCACGTGCACTCTCTCCCCAGGAGGGTGTATGTATGGGAATGTACTGTTGAGCCGTTTGTCAGTTTATTATAGTTGTCCGTACGTCACACGGGGTTCAGTCTCTCCAATCTAGTGTTGGATATTATCAACAAAAAATATATTTTAGAAGTCGGAGATGCACCAGTAACAATTCAATTTTTTGGTTGATTCCAGTTTCCATCTGTTGACGACAAATGCAGAAAAAATTGTTCTTCAGTTTAATTTACTCTGAAATGACTTGTTGACTGGAATGAGGGAATAAATAAAGATGTTCACCCAACTTTCTGACAGAGTTTGAGCAGTAGGTCTGTATAATCTGTCGACTGCTGCTGCAGCAGCACGTCTGGACAAACGCTGACTCAAGTCACAGTCGACCAGGACCAAAGACGGTTGTGTCAGATCGCTGTGTCTCTGTTAGCAGATTACTGTCCAGCACATCTGTAAAGTCAATGGAAAATCAATGGAAGTCGTTCATTTAAATGAATTTGTTGGGCTTCTGAAAACGTATGTTTTAAACGTGTTCCCATACTGGGGCCATGTTTTCCCAGTGGAAAATGTTCAGCTCAGTTGAATGTCTTGGTTGGAAAATTCTGACTGTATAATTGAATATCCTTGGTGTGAGTCATTGCTCCTGTTCAGAAAGGCTTGACAAATCCTGTTGAATTTGGTGCTCGGACCTCACTGACCTCAGTACTTGGTTTATTCCTCCAAAAGATCCAGCTCCAGGTCTGGGAAGGACTCAAATCCACCGAAGAGGTCCCGCTCACCTTCCTCCTCACCTGAGAGGGCACAGAAACGCAGCCGCTCCAGGTCTTCATCTGGAGGGAGAAAACGGAGGCGTTCTCGATCTCGTTCGTCCGAAAGGTTTGGGTTGCTGTGGAAACACCACAATCGCACTGATTTAATGTAACTTCTGTTAGTGTCAGTTCACCTGAGGCCTCGTGTAGCCCAGCTCCAGTTTGACCAAACTATTGTCACTCCTGCCATGTTTGTAGTCTTCTTTTGTCGTGAGAGTAATATTGAGTGTTTTTAAACTTTCTGTCAGTGTTTGTGCCCACTGACCGTGTTCTTCTTCCCCTGATGTTTGTGTGATTTCAGGCGCCGTGGACATTCGTCTGGATCCTCCAACTCTGGCTCCAGTTCAAAAAAGACATGACTTTGTTTCACCTATCAAACAACTAAAAGGAAATGAGTGCAGGTGCACTTTAAGACAAACAAACAAACAAACAAACGTTTGATCGTACTAATGATTTGGGCAGACATCTCTCTAAAGTTTTATTTCCTTTCAAAGAAAAGTGCATCAACATGATCCTGAGGTCATCACATGTGAGACCCTGGTGTTTCTACAGGTGATGACTGAACCCTGCAGTCAAATCAGACTGAAGACCACACAGTCTGTAGTCAGTCTTTAACTCTGCCCCCCCCCCGGCCCCACTCCAAAAAATATCTTGATTGTTCTTAAATGATGGTTGTCATTATTTTAAGCCACTCTTTCTCCAACAATGACTAAAATATATGTCACAGATGTAGCAGTGGCTCCAGCCTGTTTTAATATGTCTGTGTTTTGTTTTTAATTTTCAAGGTAAGTATGGTTTTCCTATTTGATTTGATTTTTTTTTTCCTGTTGATCAAAACAGTTTAAGATGAAGACGTGGTTGACTGGTCAGATATTCCTCTTCACCACAGATCCAAACAGAATCAGAACATTTTGTTCCTCACTGTAGAGAAACTATAACAAGATGAAGTCATTTTGGTTAGAACGTCGATGCAGTCTTTAAATAATGGAACCAATAAAATACACGTGTAAATAAATTCATGTTGAAGCCCATTCTTTGTCAGTCTGTGTTTTGACAACATAATATTTCTGACTGACTCTGAGCTTTTGGCTGTGGAAACATTTTTGCCTCAATGTCTGTGTAGACCCACAGTGTAGACGTCTGCCTCCTGTGGTTGGGGTCAGTGATGTCCATCTTCATTTAATTTTTTCTATAAACTGATAAATAGGTTCCACATCTCTCTGCTGTGCTCCATCTGGTCAACAGGTGGCGCAGTCAAGACTTTTAAAAGCTAATTGACTTATGTTCAAGACAACGGTTGTTAAAGGAACAGCTGCAGTTGCTGCTCTCCACCACTAGGATGACAGAGTTAGAGCTGTGTAGAGTCTGTGATCCTGGACCACTGCAGTTCCTCTGTAGGCCAGCAGGGGTCCTTATCCAGCAGAGATGGAGGATCACAGTGCAGTTGCTGCGGTGATACAGACATGTGTTCTGACATGTGATACTGTCACTGGGACAAAGGACACGGCCAGGTCCACAGTGTCCACAGTGTGATTGGACAGTGTCCACAG